TTTTGTATTTTTTAGATTTACGATTTCTATGTCTAAGTTCTCTCGACGGTCTCAACAGCTAATTGCCAGTGCCATAAACGTGAATTTCCTGAGGGTCCGAGGACAGGGCCTAGGAGACATAAACCAGGTCCCCTTGTTGACAACCCAACGGAAATTCTGTCTTACGTTCGATTTCTCTTCACACCCCCACAAGGCCCACCGTACTCCGCACGGATCGCGCTAAGGGCGCACGGGGTAGGGTGGTGTCCTTTTTTAAGCATTACTATTGGCAAACAGCAAAGCCAATCAGGACAGTTTCCCCATTTTGTCATTTTTCATAGTTTTCCTTCTTCGGGACAAGTCCGAAAGGATCATTCGCAAACCTACCTTCTAACAGTAAAGAACTCGCAAACATACATTCTATCACAGTACATAACTCTCGCGGAAACTATCTACAGTAAAGGTTTTCCGTACAGTAGAGACCAAACAATCTACAGTTATATTTAAACATTTACATTCACGAATCCGGTACACTTTAACACATAGACATTCTTGTTTTTTATAATTTAAGTGTTTTTGAACATTAAATTGTTATTTACCAAGTTAACAGTATTCTCATCTATTAACAACCAACCAACTCTATCGCCGTAAAACGCCGTAGAGTCACGCGTTCGAAGTTTTCGATAATTTTGATCGTGCGCGTAACATAATTTGGTCCTTCGAGCCGGATTTCGTGTAATAGACTTTAAAAGCCTTTGCAAGTGAACAGTGCTCAAAGGTGTACAAAACATTTAAAACTGTTGTGCTTGTGGATATAACAAGTTTCTATCGGAATATTATTCGTTTACTGATAACGAATTCTACATACAACACGCCGCTGTCACATTTACAACGGCAACCAACTGCGTCAACAACAACAACAGCGAACAATAACAACAGCAGCCAGAGGGTTACAGAAGTGACATCACTCATCCTCGACTGACGGTGCATCCTGAGGAAGCTGCCACTGACGCCGATACAGGAGCGATCAGGGCCTTTGACAGCACGGCAACTTCACCAAGGAGCACCTGTACAAGGACGTCGCAGCGGACATCAACCACTGTGAAATCGACGCATCGTAAAGGTAGGCTCGTTTATTTCGCCAATTCCTTTCTTACATTTTATCCACAATGCCAAGACATACCGAACAAACCTCTAAACAGTTAAAATCCGCCTCTCTCGGGATCAAAGTCAGTTCCCTGCGCCGTAAACGGGGTAATATACCGCGTGGCATTGGGAGGTTTCTTTAAAAAACAAACAGATACCTTCGTATAATCACCTACTGGACTTTCTCGGAGAAAAACCAATTGTTCAACAACAATCCAATCTACATCAGGTCACAGTTCAAGTCAAAATCGCGTACCATTCTTGAAACAGTCATTCAAACAGAAGTATTACACGTGCTGAAGCTTTCGTTACTACAAATAACGTTCATACGCAATAACAAAACATGAGAGTCAACAACGTTCCCGCGACTACAATTACATTCGCGGCTTCTTCAATTAATATAACTCCGTTAAAATCTCCATTGTGTCAGGCGGCACATGGAATCTGGCGACGCGAAGCATTCCACGCGTTACCGGCACATTTAAGATTAGACGCCGTGGAAAAATGTCATTTTGCAAAAGTTGCTTTCGACATGATCACATCCCCGATTTGTACAACAAGGGGTCATGTCGTATTTTCAAGCAACCACACAATACTTTATTACACCAGCCGAAACAGGTACAACCCGGGAATAGCGCACCGGCTACAAGACCGGCGCCTCCGGACGAGCAGGTAGCGACGACGAGCGATTGACTCGCGTTACCTGAGACACTAATGGAAACAAAGACACACAACACATTCATAATAAACACCATAGATAACGAGTTACTCGTCACAGCGCAAATTCTCATTTTAAACAACAACGGACAACATATTCCCTGTCGCACACTCATAGACACGTGTGCGACCACAAATTTCATTACAAAACACTTAGCAAACAGGCTCAACATTCCACAACAGATATGTTCGATTCCCGTTGGTGTTCTCTATTCTTTATCAACAGTAGCAAGACATTACATTACAGCTACGACATAGTCAAAAGTCAATAAATATCAACGTACATTGAGTCTTTTCTTTAACATTGAGTTTTTTTTAAAAAAAAAAAGAAATCGCATCGCTTATTCCGGGACAGCACACAGATCAGTCTCGTATTAAAATTCTTAAAAACATCAAGCTGGCAGACACGGACTTTCACCGCCCAGCTCCTATAGACATTCTACTTGGCTCAGGAGCCGCGTTATCACTCCTGAGTGTAGGACAAATTAATTTAGCTCCACCAGAAGAACCCGGGTTGTACCTTCAAAAGACAAAGGTCGGTTGGGTCATCGGGGGGAGTCCTCCAGGTTCCGATTCGCCCCACAGCGCGACCTGCCATAACATCAGAACTTTACATTTTGATATGGCTCGGTTCTGGGAGATTGAGGAGGGCCCACAGACCCAACATCTCTCAGGTTCGGACAAATTTGCGGAACAATACTACGTACAACATACAAAACGGAACAACGACGGACGATACGTCGTGGCGCTTCCTTTCAAGGATAACATCGGTCAACTTGGGGAATCAAAAACACAGGCCTTAAAATGATTCGAATCGCTTGAAGGGAAGTTACATCGCGACCCAGTTTTACAGAAAGAGTATCGCACAGTCATGAATGAGTATCTTGACCTCGGCCACATGGAACAGGTCACAGAGGATCAGGACTCTTCTGACGGGTACTACCTGCCTCACCATGGGGTCGTAAAGGTTTCCAGCGAAACCACAAAACTAAGAGTGGTTTTCGACGGGTCAGCAGGTACATCTTCCGGACTCTCGTTGAATGACACCTTGCACACAGGGCCGAAGGTTCAGGAAGACCTGTTGTACATTCTCCTACGATTTCGTTTACACCGCTATGTTATAACAGGGGACATTGAGAAAATGTACAGGCAGTTTTTGGTGCGTGAAGAGGATCGTAAATACCAGCGAATACTGTGGCGCGATTCCTCTGACAGGATTTCAACATTCCAGCTCAAAACTGTCACATTTGGATTATCAGCTGCTCCATTCCTGGCTATTCGTTCATTAGTTCAGCTCGCCCACGATGAAAGACATCGCTTCCCGACGGCATCAAAGATTCTGTTGCGCGACTTTTACGTGGACGATTTACTCACAGGAGCTACAACAATAGAAGAGGCACGCAGGGTCCGTAGAGAGTTGACATCACTATTAGAGACAGCCAAATTGAACATTAGACAATGGGCATCTAATAGCGACACTCTGTTAAAGGAGCTTCCGGAACAAGCCATCAACAAGAAATTACACATAGGCGAAACATCCACTTTAGAAACGCTAGGTGTGGTTTGGAACTCCTCACAGGATACAGTTTCTTACGAGGTCAAACCACAACTAGCAAAAACAAACAACACAGTTTCAATCGACATATAGTTATTACAGTATCTTTTAAAATCGCAGGATCATTACAGTAAGGTCCAAACTTTTTCTCGCGGACAAGGCAATCGAATGGAGTTTCATTCCACCCCACGCACCACACTTTGGTGGATTGTGGGAGGCGGCGGTGAAAGCTTTCAAACACCACCTGATACGTGTCGTAGGGACTGAGTTAATTACATTTGAGGATTTGAACACCTTGATAACAGAAATAGAGGCAATCCTCAACTCCCGTCCCTTGACTCCTATCTCCTCGGACTCCAATGACCTCCTCGTCCTTACACCCGGTCACTTCCTCATTGGCGACTCCATGACGAGCCTACGCGAGCGCGATTTTACTGTTGTTCCAGCCAACCGTCTTTCGAGCTGGCAACACATCCAGCAGATGCGGCAACACTTCTGGAAGCGGTGGCACCGGGAATATTTGAACGAGCTAACCCGGCGCACGAAATGGACCAAGGGCGCTCACTCCATCAAAGAAGGCACAGTGGTCCTTCTACGCGAGGACAACATCCCTCCAATGCAGTGGGCTTTAGGTAGAGTAACTAAGGTGCATCCCGGCTCCGACGGTATAGTCCGGGCTGTTACAGTCAAAACAGCTACCGGCGTACTCGATCGGAGTACGAAAAAACTTGTACCTTTGCTCTACCAGCCCGAAGACATCCCTGGCAACATCGACCCAGCTTCACCTGACAGAGCTGGACAGTCCCGGAGCCAACATAGACCCAGTTCCCCTGACGGAGCTGGACAGTCATAGGGCTAACATCGACCTAGCTCCTTGACAGAGCTGGACAGTCCTCTTGCCATCATCGACCCAGCTCCCTGACAGAGCTGGACAGTCATCCTGCCACAGCCCCGACCCAGCTTCCTTGACAGAGCTGGACAGTCATCGTGCTAATACATTTTTATCAAAGACATTTTCTATTAACAGTTATACATACAAATATTTACATATTTACATGCGCTTACTTATATCTACATATATTTACATATTTACATACGTTTACTTTTGTACTTACATATTTAATCTTATTTACTTACGTATACTTAGGCTTAAGTACACTTTACACACTTTACACTTAGAGTTGATCGGCAGCGCCTCTCAACGGGGGGAGGATGTTTCACGGTACATATTAGAAATCGCGTTTCCTACAGTTTCTTTAGAGATTTTAAATTTACAACTTTGTTTTTCACGAAGGCAGCTAGCAATTTGTACACTGGGCTAACATTTGACCTGCACGTTGCTAGCGCGTTCATGGCATGCAAGTACCAGAGCTGTTTTTGAGAGTCTTTTGTATTTTTTAGATTTATGATTTCTATGTCTAAGCTCTCTCGACGGTCTCAACAGCTAATTGCCAGTGCCATAAACGTGAATTTCCTGAGGGTCCGAGGACAGGGCCTAGGAGACATAAACCAGGTCCCCTTGTTGACAACCCAACGGAAATTCTGTCTTACGTCCGATTTCTCTTCACACCCCCACAAGGCCCACCGTACTCCGCACGGATCGCGCTAAGGGCGCACGGGGTAGGGTGGTGTCCTTTTTTAAGCATTACTATTGGCAAACAGCAAAGCCAATCAGGACAGTTTCCCCATTTT